TGGCGTTGGAATTCTTCTGGAGCCAGGATCCAGACATACCTACACGAGGTCACAACTCTTTAGATGGCTAGGAGACACATATCAACTCCTCTTGCCAACTTTCTATCAGGCTGGGTTATATGAAGCTTTACCTTTAGGTGGATTTGTGCAAGAAGCGGCATCCTATCTCTGCAAGGACTACGCCCTCGCAGACTTCGCTTGTAAAGTCGCTTTAGGATTGATAGACTCTTTTCACCCTGGTTCAATAAAAACGGAAACTGTGCAAGTGCTCTTCGGTCATTTCCCAGGTGGCACGTCAGTTAAGAACATGGCTTGGTACGGGCAGGCTTTGAACGTTGATGAATTTCAGCATTTCGACTACGGGGCGACAGGGAATTCGCAACTATACGGTACCTCCCAGCCTCCAGCGTTCAATCTAAGCCTTGTGAGTGTGCCAGTAGTCATAATCCACGGAAGACATGACTACTTGACGTCGCCAGCTGACGTCGAATGGGTGACAAGCAAACTACCTAATGTGTTGGAGCAGTACTACGTGGAGGATCCGATGTGGAATCATTTTGACATCACGTACAGCCAGTTCACTTGTAGATCTATTTTGCCCAAAATAAAGGAATATCTAGATGTTTTCAGTACATAACTTTATATCTTTATTATGTTTTCTGAATAAAATTTGGTTTGCAATCATTTCTTTTTCCATTCTTACAATTCCTTTAATTTTAGTACCTTGGTAAACATTTTGTTTTGGAAAACAGGTTAATGCTTGTTATTCAAAACTTGATAACATGATTAACTTGATTTATTAGAAACCCTATAACGCAGCAAAATAGGAGTTTTGAATTTGAAGCAATATTTGAGACGTCTGATTGTAGAAATCGAATTTAACTCAAAGATAATTAAAGTAGATATCAAATAACTAGAAAATGAAATAAAAAAAATTAAAAACGAAATAAAAAAAACATCATGTACTACAGTCAAACAGTTGTGCGGCGCAATGTGGAATGAACTCTGTTCTGCTCCTCTCCACTTTAATGATCTGGTTTATGAGGTTTAGGATAGCTGTGGCTTCGCTACTTTAGCGAACTTTGATAGGCATTTGCTTGTTTGCTATCTTATGCTATAAAGGAATCCTTTACACTATTCGATTTTCCTAAATGAGACACAGCACGAGCTATATATATTTATATTAAATCTATGCTAATGTTATAAAGAGGAAAGATTTGGATTTATGTATTTTTATATGTATTTGATTCACGCAAAAACTACTGGGCCGATTTTAAAAGTTCTTCCATCATAAGAAATATAATTTATCTGTAAGTAACATAGTCTATATTTCATATTATTTTTTTTAATTTCACGCGGGCGAAGTCGCGAGCAACAGCTAGTACTATATGAGCTCATTCATTAGATTAGACGCCATATATTAGTTAAAAATCATTGGGAGACACTAAATATTAAAAGAAGTAAATTTTAAAACGTTAAGGGTCTATGTTAAAATGTCCTAATGAGTCTCGAACCAGTTGCAGCGTTACCAGCGCTCTAGGCAAGTGTTAACGGAGCAGCCTTGTTTAGGAGTTCCCCTCTCCTAAGTTATAGGCTTTTAATATGTGAGACTTTACGCAGTCGTGACTCCACTTTCTGTCCAGCGTCCTAATCCTAATCACCACTGATTTCTGATTTTGAATAAACTATTTGGAATTCATTTGTCAGAAAAAAATTAGCTCTGAAATGCAATTCCGCACGCTCTGATGCTCTGTCAGGTAACTTATTTGTTAGTTATCAGGAACATGGAAATTCTGAAACAGGCCCTGTATAAAATAATAGCCAATTTGTTTTCTAATCTTTGTCGTTTGTATACATGACATGAATAATGAGGTTGCATTCGATGCATAAAATGCATGTAATTGCGGTAATAGTTTAAGTTTTTTTCTTCATTGATTAATTGGCGCGTCAAGTCGACAGTTACTGATTTATGAGATTCGGATACGTAGAATTATCGGTTTCACATTTAGAGATCAGTCCAAGAAGCTATTTTCGTAGTGATTTTTTACATGATTTACATTTTGTAACAGGTAACCCTAGTTAAATAAGTCAATAACAAGTTGTTTAATAACAATTTGTAAGGCTTAAACCACAATAAGCCTATCTTAAATGACCATTCGTTTTATTGTTATTTTTGACTCTTTTATACCTTCTTTCTCTGCTTCTTCACTAACTAGTGTTCAATTCAAACTGTGTTTTAGAAGCTTCGCTTTAAATGTATACGGAGCACGTTTTCTTTACACCATTTACTTTTACGTGTGATTTAATAATCACATTCCATTAACGTATAAAGATAATATAAATGTCACAAAATATTGCAACAATTACTTGAACACATTCAAATGTAAGTTACAGATAGTAAAAGACTTTAAATTCGCTCAGTTATAAAGTAAACCTGCAGTAAAATGTTGTCTAAAACAAATGTTATTGTTATTTGTTTGCTTATTATCCAGTATTTTCACGAAATATGGTGTCAATCAGATATTAACGAAGAAAGACGAATAAAAGTATCGCAAGGTTATCCGTTAGACTCACTACTCAACTTTACGGAGCTAACATCGAAATATGGATACAAATCAGAAGAACACACAGTTATCACAGAAGATGGTTACATATTAACAATATTCAGAATTATTAAAGGCAAAATATGCCAAGAACCGATTAGACAAACGCCAGTTTTACTGATGCACGGTCTTTTATTAAGCTCCGACTGCTGGTTGGATTCCGGTCCAAGTTCGGGGCTAGCTTATCTCATATCCGATGCTTGTTACGATCTATGGGTCGGCAATGTTAGAGGTAACTACTACGGCAAGAGGCATGCCTACCTTAATATTACTGATATCGACTTTTGGCAATTCTCCGTACAAGAAATAGGGAAATACGATATGCCCGCTACTATAGATTACATCCTTAAATATACGTCATCAAAAAAATTAAATTACATCGGATACTCTCAAGGCGGTAGTACGTTCTTTATAATGTGTTCCGAAAGAGAGGGCTATTGCGATAAAGTTGGGGTCTTCATTGGTTTGGAGCCTGATTCAAGAAATACGTACACGAAATCGATGATTAGCAGATTTGCTGCTGAATTATATCAGGACTTTCAACCATTGTTGACTGAAATCGGACTTTACGAAGTTGCACCGTTGGGTGGCTTGTATCAACAAATCTTGGCTTTCTTGTGCAAGGATTATGTGATCGCGGACACGTTTTGCAGAGGCCTTTTGTATATAGTCGACTCGCCGCATCCACATTCCGTCGAGACAGAAACTATTCGTGTTCTCTTCGGTCACTTCCCCGCGGGAACATCACTCAAGAACATTGTCTGGTACACTCAGTCTTTGAATGTTGATGTCTTTCAGAATTTTGATTACGGGACTGCTGGAAATATGGAAATGTACAATTCTACTAAACCGCCAGCTTACAATTTGAATGCTACAACAACTCCTGTAGTGATAATGAATGGTAGGAACGATTTTCTCACTGCCCCTCCCGACGAGGAATGGCTTACGAGCCACCTACCTAATGTCATTGAGCACTACATAGTAGAGGATCCTCTCTGGAACCACGTTGACGTGCCTTACAGTAAACTGACAAGCAAAAATATTCTACCAAAAATATTACACTATCTTCATGAATATAGCGATGTCAAATAACTGTATTTTGTAGAATTAAAACTTTTCGTAATTAATTCAGTGGTTTTGCTGTTGGCTTGTTTGGTTAGTAAATAATTATTATCAAATAAATTGAAATTCATCTGTTTTTGGATCTTGGATTAAAGATTTTTTTTATACAGGATCCAAAGACAAATTTCTCTTTTATCAATTTTAACCGACTCCAAAACTAGGTATATCTTATATTGTAATAAATAATGATAAATTACGTTTATTTATTTAATTTAATTTAATATGATTATAAAAATATGGTGCTCCTATACATCTTTATCAAAGTTTAAAAACAACTATTGCATTGTTCTTAACGCCTTTTAAAAATGTGTGAGCAAATATTTCTAATGTAAACATGTATTACGTAACATTAGTGCATTTGACATCGGAACTACACGAATGTTATCTGCAAGCACTGAC